CAAAACGTCGGAGATCGGCAGGGGGCGGGAAATGCGTAGCGTGAGCAATGAATCATGCATGTGTGGACCAAGCCCCAAGGTACCCTAAACCCTAAACCCTAAACCCTAAACTCTAAACCTAAACCCTAAACTCTAAACCCTGAACTCATTTTTCGATCCATGGCAAGTTGAAGCGAACCCGGAGGCCTGAGCTTCAAAACATAACAGTTGCTCCACAGTTGCAACCTAGACAGAGGATTCATAGATCCATTATATATATATATATACATATATATATATATATAGAGACATATTTGGGCATACGTACACACATATACATACACTCTTAGAGTTTAGAGACTCTGATAGATAGGTAGAGAGGTAGATGGGTAGATAGGTAGAAAGGTAGATAGATAGACAGATAGATAGATAGATAGCTGAGCAAATATGCATTCTTATCTGTTTACATCTCTTCATGATGCATATATATATATATATCTATCTATCTACCTATCTATCTATCTATCTATCTATCTATCTATCTATATATATATAGAGAGAGAGAGAGAGAGAGAGAAAGAGAGAGAGAGTCTGGGAATATGCTCCGAAAACCAGAACAGGCACGGTCTTTGGAGTTCCGGACACCCTAAACCCTATAAACCCTAAGCCGAACCCCAAACCCTCAAACCCAGCCTTGTTCTCGAACCAGAACTTGATTCGACCAACGAACCTGCTCACGGTTTACCGGATCCTTTAACGGGTTCCTTTATAGGGTACTATAAGGGTTCCTTCAAAGGGTACTCTGAGGGTACTATACGGGTTCCTCTGAAGGGTACTCTGAGATTACTTAAGAGTTCCTTGAAAGGGTACTAGGGTACTCTCAGGGTTCCCTTAACTCGGGCTCTATTAGGCTTCTTTAATAAGGGCTCCTTTAAAAGATTCTATGAGGGTACTCTAAGGGGTTCCTTGAAAGGGTACTATGAAGGTACTATAATAAGGGTTCCTGTAAAGCATTCTAGAAGGGTACTATAAGGTTTTGGGTTTCTGGTTGTTTTGGGGGGTTTGCAGGTCTGAAGAAGTTAACGGTTAGGCTGGGGTGTTGGGAAGCGGCTGCGGTTCACAGAGAATACTATATATACTACAGAATATACTGTTTTGGAGCCCAAATACCTACTAAGTAATTCCAAGCACTTACTAGAGTAGTTCTTGGACTTTGTGGGTATTCCAAACTGCATACGTCGCACGCATGGTGCAGTGTTTTCAATTAAGGCAGTTTCTTGGCGACCGGGATCCTATGTTCAGAGCAACCCTCTAAACTCTAAGCCCCAAGCTCTAAACCTTAAAGCCGGAAGCGGCCCGAAACCCCAGTCACTGAAATCCTGTTTTTTTCCTACGTGCAGACGAAAAGTCCGAGCACAGAAGCCTGAAATCCTGCAAACCCTAGACCCTCTAGGACTTTAAGCCTTAAAACCCAAACCCAAACTTCACAAGCCTGAAAGCCTCAGAACCCCAGTCCCATGAACCCTGCATTGGGGGCACGAGACCTGATGCGAACGGCATGGCTTTACCGCGGATGTAGGAAGTTCAAGAATTGTAGGTTTTACGGATCACTAACGGCCCTACAGGCCACATTTTCCGCACCTCTATGATTGAACCCGAAGCCCATTTCTACAGCTTTTTATGGATGTTTCAGAAAATAAGGGACCCTGATATAGAACCCTAAGCAATAGGATCCGTATTATAAGGACCCCAAATGAGGTACCCTAAACCCTAGACCCTAAACCCTAAACCCAACTCTCTCCGCTGCCTCTTGTCGGTGACTCCCGGGATCTGCTCCATGTCGGGAGGCCGGTAGTTGGGATGATTCACGTTGAAGGACGAGCCGTAGGAGCCAGTGTCCTGATTGCCGTGTGATTTAGAGCTTAGGGATTAAAGGTTCGGGAATAAGATTTAGGGATGATGGCTTCCTGTAATTGTGGTGGTGGTGGTGGTGGTGGTGGTGGTGGTGGTGGTCACCCTGATCATCATCACCGTCATCGCCATCATCACCAGAATGAGCAACAGCAGCATCCTGACGTCCTTATCCTCGTCATCAGATTCATGCTCACCTTCTTCATCCGTCCATCACCACATGTCACCCCATCGTTATTATCACCATCGTCCATGCCCACCTCCTGCTTACAATCGTAACTCGCGCTCGTCGTCGTCACCTCATCATGATGCTATGGTGAACTTTTGCGTTGCTGTCCACATGCAGCACTCGAAATCTAATTCACAAACACACATACACATGCACACGTGAGCATCGTAAAAATGGTCCGACATGGGAATCGGACTTTTTTACAGGGGAGGTAGGAGTTTTCGCGTGGGGCCTACATGTCTAAAACCTCAAGACCATTTTCTTGGGGGTGCTCTACGTCCGAAGCTCTCGAAACCGCTCCTGCACGCATTTCAAACCATATGCGTGGGGCTCGAAGCCCCATTGCCGGAGGCTTATTTCGGATGTGGTTTTAGGTAGCCTCAACACTTAGCAATCATTCAAAAGGATATAGGGGTCACGGTGTAGTGATCGCCCTAAGCCCTAAACCCTCTAACCCCTACACCCCAAGCCCTAAACCCTCTAGCCCCTAAACCCCTAAACCCAAAGCCCTAAACCCTCTAAGCCCCTAAACCCGTGTCCTCTTCGTCGTCGTCATCCGCTGCAGGCAGCTTCTGCTGCTGCACGGCCATGTCTCCAGCGCCGGAGCCGGCCATCATGACCTGAAGCTCATTGCTTAAACCCTAAACCCTAAACCCTAAACCCCTAAACCCTAAACCCTACTGCAGTCCCTGAATACTTAACCCCCCCTGGCTGAACTAAGAAGGAATTTGCATTAATAGCAGAACATGCCTTGAAGAGAGTGGGTGAACTATAGTCCTGGGTCTCCATTATGCGCCGCGTTTCCGCCCGGTCCCAGTTTACGTATAGTCTCCTTCCTTTGGGGATACCTTATAAGATCCTTAATATATAATTGGTTAAACCAAAAAAAGGGAACTACAATGGAGACTATAGGCAGGATTAATTAGGGTTTTGGGGTGCGGGTCCCAGGGTGTCCTTAAGGTCTACCTCGCCAGGAAGTGTTTCCTGAAACGCCCTACATTCATCTAACCCTAAAGCCCTAAACTCTAACAGTGGTAGTCGGATCGCCTGTTTCCCAAAGCAGAAAGACGCGGAAGGCTTCTACAGAGGTGGGAACCCCGGAAACTCGCAATGAATGACTCGGCTGAAATTTCCATACCCGAAGGCCCCGTCGCTAGTCAACCCTCTCCGCCGCAAATCCCATTGATCCTGAATACTTTGATAGGGGTTATAGGGCTTAGGCTTAATAGGGGGGGTTGATAGAGTTTAGGGCCGTGCGCTTTAGGGTTTCCAAAGCCGAAAAAACGGCTGATGGTATAAATCCTGCAATACCCATAATACCAAATATACCATAAGTCCCATAGTTTAGGGTCCTTGAGGTAATGCAGGATTTATCTCATCAGCCCTCAACCCTAAACCCTAAACCCTAAACCCTAAATCCAATCCTATGAGCTCACCCCAGTCCCCAGTCCCAAGTACCACATAACCAGTTTGGAAAGCATGCCTGGCCCATCATCGCGGCGCCCATCATCATCATGGCCATCGGGTTCATACCCATCCTCGGGGTTTAGGGTTTAGGGGCGGGGTTTAGGGTGTAGGGTTTAGGGTTGAGGGTGTAGGGGGTTAGAGGTTTAGGGTTTAGGGGTTTAGGGGTTGAGGGTTTCGGGTTAAGGGTGTAGGGGTTTAGGGTTTCGGGGTTTCAAGCGTTTTGGGTTCAGGTTTTAGAGCCTTCAGCAGGTAAAGTAAGAGCCTAAACAAGAGACCCCTTTGTCCTTACGAGGGTGCTCAGTGTGGCTCATTCTTGTAGCGAAGCAGAACCCGGTGATTTTTAGAAACACTTTCCCACACTATCGTTGTCAGGTGGAAGACTCTTTGTTGCCGTGTGTAAGGTTTTAACAAACGGGCCTTGTGATGGTCCTGGTGTTCACGGCCCATAGAGCCTTGATTCGCTCTTGCCATGATCCCTTGGGCTCAAGATGTAGCTTTGCAATCGCTGGTGGTATCACCGATACCTTATAAGCCCCCTATGCTTTCAGTATGCCGGTATGCCTGAATAACTCCTTGAGCATCGGGCGGACTCTCCGATACGTGCAGAATCCCAAAGAAGATTGCCTGTCGGCTATGTAGCTTCGGCAGGAAAGCGGCGGCGTCATGGCCATCGGGTTCATGTTCGATCCCATCATGCCCTCATCTCCCTTCGCCACAGAATGACAGCCGCCCTCATCCTCCGGCTTCCTGGCACTAAGGGGAAGGTTTGGGGTTTAGGGTTTTAGGGTTTAGGGTTTGCAAGGGTTTAGGGAGACGGCTGTATAAAGCAAAGCATCACTCGGCCGCAACAGCTACAATTAGGTTCCTTGCCACAATGTGCAACAGAGGTTCATGCTGCCAGTACTCTGCCCAGCTCCACAGTTGCCACCGCATCCACAGCCGTTTCCGCAGCCACACGCGCAACCGCCGCAGTTTCCACAGCCGCAGCCACAGCCAGCACAATTTCCAGCACAGCCACAGCCGCAGCCGCAGCCGCAGCCACCACAGTTTCCACAGGCGCCACAGCCACAGCCGCAGGCGCCACAGCCACCACAGCCACCACAGCCGCCACAGCCGCCGCAGCCACCACAGCCACCACAGCAGCCACAGCCACCACAGTTGCATCCACAGCCGCAGCCGCAGTTGCCGCAGCCGCAGTTGCCGCAACCGCAGCCACCACTGCAGCCGGCGCAGCATCCACCACAACAGCCGCCACAACCGCCGCCACAACCGCAAGCACCGCCGTTGCAGCCAAAGTTGCCTGAAACTGAGTTTGATTGAACATGAAACACAAATAAAGTCATGACATTGATCCTGCAGATCAAGTACTCCACATACCAACATACTATAGACTACATCGACCTTTCTTGTCTCTTCAGTATCGGCGAACCTGCAGTGTTTCAACTGCGGCATTGCAGGATTCACTGTTCCACTTGGGCTTGGTTTAGGGTTTCAAGGATCAGGACGCCAGCGTTTGGAGGGTCAGTGCTCGCTTGGAGTTTGGAGTGGTGGACATCCGATGGACACTATTGCGACCACGGCACACTGCCTCTGTGCAGATGCTGGCTCCGTCTCGGGTTATTTTCTACTCGATGGAGGGTATAGGGTTTAGGGCTTAGGGTTTAGGGTTTAGGGTTTAGGGTTTAGGGAAAGCGAGACAACAAGTGTCATGTAAAGCCCGTGGCGTCCTTGTTTCTCAGATTGTATTTTCTGGCGCAGTAAGGCCGTCCTGGGTATGCCAAGCAATACATCCCGTGAAAATGGAACCCGAGAGTCAAGCCACAGATAATCGTAACACTGATAATGATAGCAGAAGTAATAATAGTGATCATCGCAATTACTAGTGATACGAATACGTTCTGTGGAAACCCTTCCAGAACACCTCAAGGTTCAATCTCAATGGAGTCGTTTTTCAGGTTCGTAGCGAACGACAAACCCTCAATTAGGGCGTGATGGTTTAAGACCGCGGGATATCTAACCTTCTATGCAATGCCTACAATCCGCAAAAGATCCCTAAACCCTAAACCCTAAACTCCAAGCGCCCAAGGTGCTTCCACAGGCTCCGCCGAAAGCCTCTTGTTCACAGGCTCCGAACGGCCTGCGACGTACGGTTGACGGTAGGAAGATATTCTTTGTCCCAGGTGCTTTTCTTTGACCTGCACCTTCTGTCTTACTATGGTTGTTGAGTCCAGCATCACACAGCTGCGACAAATCATGAGTTGATTCGTTTATGCATGTGTGTGTGTGTATGTGTGCTTTTGTATTTCTGTATATATATATATATGTATGTATGTGTGTGTGTGTGCGCCTATGCAGGTATGCACATGTCTATGTATGTATGGGTGGATGTATGTATGTACGCCTGTATATTGTATATATGTATGCATGTATGCATGTACACAGAGACAAGCTGTACTGCAGAAGCTTCTGCATGACAGAATATTTGCAACAGAATCATAGATTGCCAAGTTGTGCCACTGTATCATGTTTCTGCGATGGGGTGATCTGGAGATACTTAGGCAGGGACTCAAAACTCAGACTAGCAGTTACTGATCATACCGGCAAGAACTCCATCAACATGCTGCAAAAAATCACGTAAATCTTTCCACGAGCCTCTTTCACCAAGGACCTACCCCAAACAAAAAGAACCAGATGCCGAACCGAGCCAGAATCAAACAATAATAATTTGAGGACAGGGGGACTCCTTTTAAGCCATCTTTGTTATCTCAGAAACGCCCATAGTATATCAAAAAAATTGGAAACCACATTGAGGTCAAACAGTGCTGGGATTCCCTATACAAGTTAAAGGATTGAGGCTCTTGGGTTTCCAACGGTCCCAGGGCTGCCGGCCATGCAATTGGATGCACCAGAAGCCTTCGCAGCCCCGAACCGCTTTAGGGTTTATGATTTACCCGTAGTCTCCATTGTAGTTCCTTTTTGGGTTTACCTTTTCGGATCCTCAATGTAAAATTGGTTAATCCAAAAAAGGAACTACAATGGAGACTCTAGGTAGGGTCCAGGGTTTATCAAGGGGTTTGAGCCCGAAGGGCCCAAGTACCTCCAATCCAAACAGTCGGGCTCCGAGTGCCAAGGAACATTCAGAGCTTTGTATTTGGATAGTTGTCTAAATTAGGGCCCCTCTTTAGGAACTCAACAGAAGGCGCACCCTTATACCAAGTACATCAAAAAGGACCCTAATTTAGAGAACCACCCATTTGGAACCCAGGTTTACACTATTAAATTTACACCCTGAACCCAACGCACTAGACCCTCAACCCTAGAACCAAGGCCCCAACACCCTAAAACTCGCACCAAGACCCTAAAGCCTAACGCCAAGTCCCCAAAACCTAACACCACGACCCGAAACATCCCCCTAGTGTAGGGGCCTTAATAATTTGAACAGGGTTTCGGGGCCCAGTATACTATAAGTATAATGAGGAAACCACCAAAAAATAATGTAGCAACGTAAGAAAGGCCCTTTGGAATATTATACTAAACCATAAACAGGAACCACCAAAATAACATAGGTAACTCTTTAGGCCACTACATTAAACACCAAGCCCAAAAAACCTTCAGGCTCCATCTTCAATCAGCCTGGCTCCTGGAGCTTTGGGAGTCGTCGCCAGGGACTCTCCAGGGGGTGGCCCTGAGTGGCTTGCGGAAAAGGGTCGAGGATTTAGGGTTCAGGGTTTAGGGTTTAGGGTTTGAGGTTTAGGGTTTTGGGCTTAGGATGTAGGATTACGAGTCTAGGCCAATGTTGGTTTGCATTCGGTTTTGCAAGACTACGGCCACATGCACATTAACATCTGTTTGTATGCATATGTATATACTTATATACACTAGTATATGTATATATGTATATATGTATACATGCATACATGCATATATGTATATATGTATATATGTATATATGTATATGTATATATGTATATCTATGTATCCATATGTACGGTCTGATCATGAGCCGAACACAGCCGACCTATATTTCGTGTTTAAGGGGCGCTGTGCTCTCTTGGAACTTTCAGACCGATCTCACAGGAACCCGGAACAGTCCGAAGACTCCCCAGATTAGAGCCAAACCAAAGGTTCAAAGTCACAAAGCAACAAGGGAATAGGATTTTGGGCGTTAAAGTTTCAGAGTGTAGGGTTTAGGGTTTATAAGGGGCTTAGGCTTTTGGTTAAGTTTCGGGTTTAGAAGCTGCCTTCATCCAAGCTCCACCATCAAGAATCGGTGGGCCGGGTGAGGTTCGGCAGCGGTTGGCATCATGATTCACGGATCAACATGTAAGCTTCATGATGTACTCTGTGTTGCAGGTCTTGGCATGATATGTGTATTCACATACATATATACATGCGTATAAAATATACATAATATATATATATATATATATATATGTATGTATGTATGTATGTATAACTTTACACATAAGACATAAGACGCAGATCTCTGGGTCTTCAACTCAACCACTAAGAGGGCGAATACCTTGAGGCCTGTCGTCTGTTTAAGGCTCATGGTTTGGGCACACCTGTGAATCTACTTCGAAAGCGCTAATGCTCTAGTTGTCGGATCACGATCTGCTTTCTATTTTGTGGGATGGGAGACAGGCAGGGTTTCGAGTACAGAAAACTCGCCAAGTGACGCGGGGGCGGTGGAGGCACATTCTCTGCTGGAGTACCTGGCGTCAAGAAGTAAGAAGAACTCCACTTAGAAAGACATCAACAGCCCTAAACCCTAAACCCTAAAAAGCCCAGAACGCTGACACGAAACGTCGGTCCTGAAGCCGCTCTTTTTTAGGCACCTCAACTATCGTCCACAAAGACGGTACACGTCCGTGGAAGGTTTGATTGAAACTGAGTCCCATGGGTCCAGACCGCAGATACCAAACCCAAAGCAACCTACAATACAAGCCACTCTGGCAAAAGGGACCTGATTACAGGGTCTATATCCCCAAGGGTCCCCCTACTCCTAACTCCTAAAGGTCCCGTGTTCTCAACCCTGAGCCCTGAGCAATAGATACCCAACTCTTAATCTCGTAATCACACGAACCCCTCCGTTCCCTAACTGCGACACCCCCCCCCCGTTACACTAACCTCCAAACCCTCAACAACTCAACCCAAAGTCTGAACAACACCTAAACCCTACAATTTACAAAGCCGAAACCAGAGAATCGGGGGCCCGGATGAAGGACCCTTCAGACAGCAAGCTCCAAGCCTAAAGCACCAACACAAAACCGTCGCCAACCCTAAATAGCAGCAAAAGCTACCGCCCCATCCGTCCAAAGAAAAAAACATGAAATAACAATAAAGAATAAACACATTCATAATAAATACAATTCAGGTTTGTCTTATTACAACCAAACAGGAATATAAACAAAACAACACACGAACAACCCGACCTTCTTCGGCCCTTTGCCGCTTCGTCGGAGGCTCGGCAGAGTTTTGGGAGGCCTGCTCGAGGGCCTCGATCTGCCTTGGGTTTTGGGAGGTTTTGGGGTTTACAGCTTTAGGAGGTTTAAGGATTTGGGGTTTAGGGGTTTATAAGGGTTTTGGGGTTTAGGGCTGGGAAAGAGGGATCGAGATTTAGGGTTGCCTTGGGTTTTGGGAGGTTTCAAGGGTTTTGGGGCTTAGGGTTTGGAGATTGAGAGGGGTTTAGGGGTTTAACGAGTTTAGGGGTTTAGCGAGTTTAGTGGTTTTTAAGGGTTTGGGGGTTTCTAAGGGTTTAGGGGGTTAGGGTTTAGGGTTTAGGGGTTTATAAGGGTTTAGGGGCTTGGGGGTTCAGGGTTTAGGGATATAGGGGTTTAGGGGTTTATAAGGGTTTAGGGGTTTAGGGGTTTACAAGGGTTTAGGGGTCTCTGAGGGTTTAGGGCTTAGGGGTTTAGAAGGGTTTAGGGGCTTCGGGTTGCGGGTTCGAGGTTTCAAGTAAGAGGGATCCGCCTTGGTTTTTAGGGTGTTGGGCGGCTTCATGCTCCTTTCTAGGGTTTAGGGCCTGGGGTTTTGGGGGGTTAGGGTTTAGGCTTTAGGGTTTAAGGTTTAGGGCTTGAGGCTCATAGGGCTTACGGAGTTTAGGGTTTCACTGTTCTGGGGAGAAGGGATCTTGTGCTTTCTTGGTTTAGGCGGTTTTCGGGTCTTGCGGTGTTCTACCAAGGCTCTATCAGCGGTTTTAAGGGCTTAGTATTCTGGGAGGGGCCTAAATATTAAGAATATGGTTTGGGGCATATTATCTATCGATCTAATTATTACACCCTAAAAACTAATATTGGTAATCCTTTAAAACCCTAAACCCCCAACCCCTAAACCCTAAACCGTTTTAGGCCCCTTCATTACATTATTCTTGGAGGGTCGAAGGGTTTGGGGTTTGGGACTTCAGGGTTCTAGGGCTTACATAGGGGCCTGCCTGGCTCCGGACGGTTGGTTGCTGAGGGTTTAGGGTTTACGCTGCTCAGGATTTAGGGTTTAGGGGGGTGTTTAACGCCTTCTGCATGAAGTGCTATGTTGGGATGTTGGGCTTGCCATCTCAGGAAATCTTGCCACATTGCACACAACTCTAAAACCCTATACCCTAAACCCTCAAGAAAGAAGCAAACAGAAATTGCTTGTTGCTGTTGGCCGATGCAATCATTCAGTTCAGCCCGCCTCAGCGCAGCCAGTGCAACCCGGGTTTCGCATCGGAAACCAGCCCAGCCAGCCCAGCCCAGCCCCACAGCCCAGCCCAGCCCAGCAAGGCGAGCCCGCCCAGCCCAGGCCAGGCCAGCCCAAATTCAAAATCAATCACAACTTTCGCTCAAAACTAGCGCGCCCAAGCCCTCGCAAACACCCTAAACCCTATATACCCTAAACCCTTATAACGCTATATCCTATACCCTAAACCCATATAGCCCTCTATCCTACACCCTAAACCTTAAAAAGCACCGGGCGGCTGCTGGAGGGAGGCGCCGATGTCCAACAGTTTGCCCTGCTGACGCTGGGATTGTCGAGGGGATTCCAGCTCTCTAGGATTGTCGATGTGCTTTGGGGCTTCAAAGGTTTAGGGTTTAGGGTTTAGGGCTTTGGGTTTAGGGTTTACGGGTATAGGGTCTAGGGGTTTAGGGTTTAGGGGGCTTTAGATTTTATAGAGCATAGGCTTGTAGGGTTGGGACTTTAGAGCGACTATGTACAAGGATCTATTCCTTGATCTTACGATATGGGAGTTTCCGAAAATTAGGGTACCCTATTCTGGGGTCCTTATAATAAGGATCCTACTATTTAGGGTACTATATTAGGGTCTCCTATTTTCTGAAACCCCCATATACCAAGTTACTGTTCCTACCCCACATTCCGGATGCGTGGCCACTTGAGGTACAAAGTGTGGCCGTCAAGACTCTCCACTTGCTGCTGGCCGAATCAGTCGACAAAGGCTAGCTACAGTTTCCCTTTTTGGGGAAACCCTAAACCCTAAACCCTAAACCCTAACTTGGACGGGACCTTCGACAGCAAAAGGGCATTGACTCGAGATTGACAGAACCTCCAGGCAAGAATCTCCGAGTACCTCCAGACACGCCTTCAGCGATTCAGCTTCAAAAATCCACTTGGAGCCCTAGATCACCCAAACAAAACCAGGCCTGGGCCCCAAAAAGCCCTAAACCTAACTCAGCCTGAACCAAGCTCGGCCAAAGCCTGATTAAACTCTTGACTGTTACATGGGTGGTTGTCAAAATTATGGTCCCTTTTTGGGTCCTTATTTTTTATACGGCACCTATTATTTAGGGTACCCCAAAAGGGACCCTAATTTTGACAACTACCCACATGTCAGCCTCAAGAAACATGGAGCAAAAGCCTTCGGTTTCGGATATAACCCGGTAGAGCCGATGCCTTAGGCCCAGAAGCCTATAAATCCCACAGTAAGCCCTGCAGAGGCACCAGAAAGCTGGAAACTATGAAGGGCATATAGTACCCATAGCACAGCACAGCAACATACACGAAAAGGCGTGGTGCAAGTAAAGACCCTCAAAAAATCCTCAAACCCTAAACCCCTAACCCCTAACCCCTAAACCCCCTTAAAACCTTTAAAACCCCTAATCCCCTAGAACCCCTAAGACCCCTAAACCCCCCTAAAACCCCAAAGCCCTATGGCCCAAACCAAGACCCTAAGGGTCCATGTACACAAATAATAGATACTTCGGCCCTAAAGTACCCAAATAGGGACTACTTTAAGGCCAAAGTATCTACTATTTAGGTGCATGGAGCCTTTGGGAAAGCCTGCACGGCCCGATGGAGATGCTAGAATCACCTTGAAAAGGATCGCTAGAGGTTTGAAAACCATGAAGGGACATGGATAGACCCTAAACCCGAACCCTAAACCCTAAACCCTAGACCCCTAAACCCTTTCCTCTGAAAGGTTCGGAAACTCCCACATGGACCCTTAGGAAGAAAGCTCGATCGTGGCCTTGGAGATCTTGGAAGACTCGACCAAGGCCTTGAGGTCCTCAGGTGCCTCTACAAGGCTTACTTTAAGGCTTTAAGGGTCCCTTTATGGGTTTGAGGGTTTAGGGTTCTACTTTAAGGGTTAGGCCCATAGGGTTTAGGGTTTATAGGGTTTAGGGTTTAGGGTTTATGGGGTTTAGGGTTTAAAGTTCTAGAAGGGCTTCTGCAAGGCTGACTTTAAGGGTTCCTTTATGGGTTTAGGGTTTGGGGTTCTACTTTAAGGGTGCCTTTATGGGTTTGAGGGTTTTGGGGTTCTACTTTAAGGGTCCCTTTATGGGTTTGAGGGTTTTTGGGGTTCTGCTTTAAGGGTTCCTTTAAGGTTTTAGGGCTTTTGGGTTCTATAAGGGCCTCTACAAGGATTACTTTAAGGTGGGTTTAGGGTTGAGGGTCCTGAAGAATTACCAAAGAGTTCCTTTAAGTGTTTATAGTCGGGTTAAGGTTTAGGGTTACTTTAGGGGTTTAGGGCTTATTAAAAGGGTTTAGGGTTTAGGGTTTAAGGTTCTACTTTAAGGGTTCCTTTACGGGTTAGGGCTTATAGGGTTTAGGGTTTTTGGGTTCTAGAAGGGCTTCTACAGGGGCTTTAGGCTTGCCCTAAACCCTAAACCCTATAAACCCTAGGCCCTAAACCATATAAGCCCCAGACCCTAAACCCTATAAACCCCAGGCCCTAAACCCTATAAACCCTAGGCCCTAAACCCTGTAAGCCCTATAGACCCTGAACCCTATGAACCCTAGGCCCTAAACCCTAAAAGCCCTATAGACCCTAAACCGCATAAGCCCTATAAACCCTAAACCCTATAAGCCCTATAAACCCTAAACCCTAAAAGCCCTATAGACCCTAAACCCTATAAGCCCTATAGACCCTAAACCCTACAAGCCCTATAAACCCTAAACCGTATAAGCCCTATAGACCCTAAACCCTAAACCCTAAACCCTAAACCCTATATAGACCCTATACCCTAAACCCTAAACCCTAAACCCTAAACCCTAAACCCTATACCGTAAACCCTATACCCTAAACCCTATACCCTAAACCCTATACCCTAAACATCTAAAATCTTAGGCTTTGGGATCTTAGCAGGCTTTGTGGCTTCGGGGTTTCTGGCTCTGGGAGGCTTTGGTGCGTTAAAAGGCTTTGTGGTTTAGGGCTTATAGGGTTTAGGGTTTAGGGTCTATAGGGTTTATAGGGTTTATAGAGCTTATAGGGTTTATTGGGTTTTATAGGGTTTAGGGTTTAGGGTTTGTAGGGTTTAGGGTTTACAGGGTTTAGGGTTTAGTCTCTTGTGGACGCCGAAGATTGAGGTCCTAGGGTTTGGGCCTTGAAGTGGTTGGGGGTTCAACTTTTGGACTACTCTTGGCATGCGGATTGTGATAAAGCCTTTGGGTGGCTTCGGTAGTCTGGATAATGCGCCCTGATATTGCCTATGTAAGTTTTTTCATACGAAAATTTTTTAAAAAAAAAACAAACACAGCAGACCCTTGATTGCCGACGCGAAAAGTCCTGTGACCATCAGGTCGCCTTGCACCCCGCTCCGGTCTCAAGTTCATCAGCCCCCACCGGGATCTCCCCGAGTGCATAGTCTAGTTAATGTAGGGGCCTTAATAATTAGAATAGGGCTTGGGGCCAACAACCCCCAATATAGTATTGGCAATTATTTAGGCTCCTATAGTCTATAGTAGTCTAGTTCACAGGATTTGGGTTGAGGGTGCATTATAAGTGCTACAGCGACTTATTCGGACGTCTATATCAGTTACTAGTCATTCCGGTTGTCATGCCGGTTGCCAACTAAGGGAGACCGGATGGCCGGCACCTTGCCTCCATCTCCCAAATTCACACGGCTGCCATGAGGCGCTGCCAGGCGGCTAGGGACAACAGGCCAAAGCCCCAATGTAACCTGAACCTTACCTCCCTACTAGCCAATGAAACCTGAAACCCTAAAAACACTAAAACCAAAACCAAAAACCCTAAAGCCTGAAACCCTAGTAACACTGAAGCCCTGCCCCCTCGAAACCATGAACGTCCGTTATCAAGGTCATGGCTGTTGGAGTGACTTTGAGTTGCTCTGTTACTGGTGGGGGCTTGACTACTGCAGTAGATGCCAAAGCCCTCTAATGTAGGGGCCTAAACAATTACCAATACCATGTTGGGGGTTCCTTATTATGATGATAGTAGAATGGGCCGCCAACAAGTCCTATTCTAACTATTTAGGCCCCTATATGAGGCCTTCCTTCTTTGGAACTGGAAAGGAATACTACATCTTGTCTTTGAGCCATCGTTCTCGAACCTAGCCCCCCCACCCGGAATCCCAGATATCATCTCCCTCCGTTGTAGGCATATAGATACTACGGACCCTAAACTCTAAACCCCAAGAGTCAAGGTACTCCAACAACTCTCCTACTACTGAGTGCCTAGGCACGGCCCTTGCTGCCCTCTGCACCCTCCTCCCTGCTCCCATCAGCCGAAATTTGCATGTCAGAGTTTCAGGTAGGCTTGTACCCAGAGACCTCACCGTAGTTCCTTTTTGGGATTACCTGATAGGATCCTAAAGATAAGCCACAAAAAAAAGAACTATTATGGGGTAATAGCCCTTATAGAATAGAGCCCTTTAAGGAACCCTTTAAAGGAACCCCCAAAACCCTATTTAGGAACTACAACAAGGCCTACATGAGCACTGCAATGCCTCAAGGGTTTGACGAGCTCCGGAGCCCACAGCTACTTAAAGGGTCAAGGCACATGCCCTAGGATCCCCAGTAGGGTTTAGGGTTTAGGGTTGAGGGCTTAGGGCCTAAATAATAAGGGTACCCTTTTTCCTACTATTTGGTTTTTTAAGGGAACCCCAAAAGAAAACGGGCAAAAGGGTACTACTGGGGAACCTAGTGCCAAGGAACGATTCCTCCAACCGATGCCCCAAACCCTAAACCCCCTAGGTCGACGAGGGCTCCCCGCTCCCCGAATAAGGGCGTCTGGCGAATCCTGTGCAGAACCCATATTAGGGCTTAGGGATCAGGGTTTAGGGTTTAGGGAAACCCTAAACCCTAAACCCATATTAGGGTTTAGGGATCAGGGTTTAGGGTTTAGGGAATGACCGCAAAGCTCTCCCCTACGCGCCGTCTACGCAGGAACCGCCGTCGTCTCCACTGCCATCAAAGCCGTGACGGAAGAAGTCCTGCCGTCAGAGCTACGGTTGATGATATAACTCCCGCATGACCCTAACCCCCCTGGTACCTACTATACAGGGCCCTAGGGGCTCTAGTACCCTATATAGTAGGTACCTGGGGGGTTAGGGTTACCCATAATAGTAATAATACAAGAATAAGACAAACAATATTAAGGAATATAGCATAATTAATTCCCATAGTTTAGGGTCCTTAATTAAGGTAAAGCAGGATTTATGTCATCAACAGTATTGACTATTGAGCCGCAACATGCCAAACAGAACTGCGCCGCGGCTCAAACGATTAGGGACCTGTGGCAAACCCCCAACTTAGCCCTGCAAACCTGAGCCGAAAACCCTAAACCCGAAACCCTAAACCCCTAAACCCTAAACCCCTAAACCCCTAAACCCTAAACCCTAATACCCCTAAACCCCCAAACCCCTTAACCCAAAGCCCTAAGCCCTAAACCCTAAACCCTAAGCCCTAAACCGAAAAGTGCCGCCGTCCTGCATGATGGCCATTCGGACAACCTTTCCGCGCTGCAGGGCTGCAGGGCACAAAGATTTGCCGGTTTCAGCTCTGCACTACCCATAGGCCCCATAGTTGTTCAGGTTTAGGGTTTAGGGTTTAGGGTTTAGGGTTTTAGGGTTTACGGTTTAGGGTTTTTATCCATAGGCCCCATAGTAGTTCCTTTTTGGGATTGCCTAATCGGATCCTGAAAATATGCCCCCAAAAGGAACTACTATGGGGCCTATGGGTACACCCCATGATACCCCTGTGATGGATTTATGTGCAAAACTACCATGGCGTGGAGCCCCTCCCGTACCTGAGGGTTTAGGGCTTAGGGTGTAGGGCTTAGGGCTTAGGGTTTAGGGCCCCGAAACCCTAAACCCTAAACCGTCATATTCCATAACATATGGTTTAGGGTTAGGGCTTATGGCTTAGGGTTTAGGGCCTATGGTTTAGGGTTGAGGGCTTAGGGTTTGGGGTTTATAAGTCATATTCCATAACTGAAGGGTCTCGGGCTCTCCGAGTTCGGCTTGGACAGTCGAAGCTTTGGGGTCTCTGGCGAATGCACGCAAAGACACTCCTAGTACCCTATAATATATACTGTCTGGTATACATGAGACAGAGAGAGAGAGAGAGATATATATATATATATACGTATGTACATATATATATATATATGATATACACTTACGAATACATATATATATATATATACACATATATATATATATATGTATATATATGATATATGATATATAACCCCACTCTGCCGCTCCAAACCCTATATGCGAAACTCCCAACCATAAACCCAAACTCCTAAACCCCAAAGCCTGAAGCCTCAAACCCTAAATAACCCTAACTCAAAGCATCAACATCGGAACCCTGGTGGAACGCAGGCCAACCTTTCCAAATTATATGGATCCGTGCTGTCTGGGGCCTGGGACATTTGGGGTTAAAAAGGTTTACAGTTGGGTTTAGGGTTCAATACTTTAGGGCTGAGGGGTGAAATCCCCCAAAATATACGGTCTACCCACTTGAGACGTCGGTACCTGGCATCATAGTAGCCTCCCGAGCAGTATTAACACATATCTACAGAATATAGCAGTAGAATGCATGAAGTAATGGTAAGACGCAGTATGATAGAGAAGAATCGGCTCTTTCACTGATGCCTGAGAATCAACGCCCAATATCTCACAGCTAATGACTGGCACACTCCGGGCCTCGACCCCCCTAAACTCAGTGTCGATGTACGTCTTAATGGCAGGCGTAGAGCTGTACACCTGGCCGGCAGAGAATTTCGCGGGCATTGTGAGTTTTCACTTTTTGTAGGTTCCTGTGAGGTTATCCAGGATATTCTGGTGCGTATGGGGCTATACCCAAGATCTCAGAAACCCCAGCACCCCGTACTTAACGAATATTCCTGCAAGTGTTGATGGCTGAAGAATCAACTTGTGGAGGCTAAGCTTTCGGCCATTTTATCGAACCTAGGAGACCACCAAAAGCACCTAAACATAATCAGCATGAAAGCAATCTCACTATAGAGGGTATAGGTAGCAACTCACTTTGCCTGCATGGCTCCTTGAGCCTGTGGCGTGGGATTTCCTTTGCCCCCCTCGAAGTTAAGCAACACGGACAAGCCTGCTGACCTCCTGCAACCCTAACCCTGAACTCTGCACCTTGCCCGAAGGCTGAAGCCCTAAATCATCTCGAGCTTATGTAGGGTCCAGGCTTACGTAGGCTGTAAGGTTTATAACCTGAATTTTGTTAAAGCCCTCAATTCCTTAACCCTGGGTCACCTCGGGAAGCTTGTCGAGAGTCCGCACGAGAGGTCCCAAAATCCGGGGCACCTGTGTGTACCTTGCACGGTGTCGGTGCGGATTTGAGGTTTTTGGGGTGTAGGGCTTGGGGGTTTAGGGATTTTTGGCTTTGGGGGTTTAGTGTGGTGTATCTAGGAGCGGAGTGTAAGACAGAAGAAAAAAGACTTCAGTTCAAGGGCCGAGCATTCCGGCTTGAGGGTGTGGGGTCTAGGGTTACGGGTTGAAGGTTTGGGGTTTGGGGATGCGGGTTTAGGGTCCGGGAAAATTTTCAGGATTTTACGGGTTGAAGGTTTGGGGTTTGGATGAGGGTTAGGGTCTGGGGCAGGGTCTTATTTCAGGATTTGGATCAGGAGGGCATTGAGCATAGCCTGAGTCTTTAGCCACCCTAAACATCAGGGACTGAAATAGTAGAGAAACCTAATTACACAATTACTAATTTTATTTTGGGGGTTCCATAAATCTTTTTCTATGAAAGAGCCTAAGACCCTATTCAAATTATTAAGGCCCCGATATTATACCCGTACACTGGCCACCACCCCGCCTCACATCCCGAGAATGGCTCTGTCGAAACCCCGGCAGCAACGCGACTTCAACCCGTTATCCAGAAACCCGGGAGGATCCCAAAAGTTGGTATTTGCACGAGCTGCATAGCCTGCCGCACATGAGCTCGTCTCACGAGAAAACTCATCCCACACCAACCCGCGGGGGATCCACAAGTGCAACATCATCAAAAGGTAAACTGGTATCAGCCCTCTCAGAAAAATACCGCGTTCGCGGCAACTTGGATAAAGCTGTCTTCTTGGTGATACGATACCTCGCCCTGGTAGTTCGCTGTGTTGAACATACCGTGCGTGGTAAATTAGATGTGCGATCTTTCCAGCGCCATTTTCTCCCACACTTCAAACACTGAATCCACCCCTCATCCGGTGCACCTATAGACTTTCCGACTTTGCGATTCCAGTGAAGCAGATGTCGGGCTTTGTTGTACTTACTGTTAAGCTCCCGCTCCAGTTTGTCGAGGCGGTTGTCGTTGGATAAAAATCCTTCCGATACCAGAATAGGGCCGCCTTTTTGCGTGCAAGGCTTGCTCGTTATCTTGAGGCGCACATGCTCTGAATAGGAAGTAAACTTCCCACATAATCTGCACCAAAAGCCACCCCCCTCACGCGGTGCCAGCAGATGCCCATTCTCAACAATACCTTGTTCTGTAATCTCCTGTTTGGGTCTGCAGCGACTTTTGTCTTCCAAATCACCCCCTGCATGCCACCTGATAATGTGCTTCTGCCAGACGTCAACGAGAAATGCCTGCACCA